GTAACAAATTGGGAGACGCTTGGCATGTTTGGATGAGTGGCACTTACAAGGAATATTTTAGTAAGAATTTTATCATTGAATAAAGTTTGTGAACATTAAACACCTATTATTTTCACAATAATATATCGGTTCAGAGGTATTGGAAAACTAGTTGATTTTAGGTTGCAATAGTTTGTGATCATTTTCAGGTTATGCAAAATAAATCTAAGTAAGATGCTGTTTTTAAGTTGTGTTTTCACAAATTTTCTTCATTCAGGACATTTTGATGCAAAAAATATTTCACTTGTTTTAATTTGCCTAAGAAATCCTGGCAAGTCTCTGGTTCCTTTGAATGATATCGTAGCTGACTTTGTCTATGTTGTAAATGTACACAAGTCAGCCAATAACAATATAACTAAAGCAGGTAAACCACAAAAGGTTATGTAATGGCACCTGGCAGAAGGCAGGACATATTAGGAAGGGAATAAACAGCAGTACAAGAGCATAAACCAGCATAAAGGCCTAGCTGAAACTGCAATGACTACACATTGCAACCCAACAGCTGAAGGCCTTGAGTGATGTAGGGGTCAGGAGATTCAAATAAACAAGTAAGGAAAAAAAGTGAGCCAATGATTCCCTGATCAAGAGTTTTGATCCAAGAGAAAAGCTACTGTAGCTCAAATGGCCAAAGTTAAAAAAAAGTTTAWATATTTGGAAAGATCTCTGATCACACAATGCATTGCAATCCAGCTTCATGCCAACAGGCTGGTCACACTTGCAATACTAACTTATGTCCATCATCTAGTGTTTGTACTGGGCCAGTGAACGTCAGACATGAGATCACTGAGCATTGGAGGAACGTGTCCTGGTCTAAAGAACAGTATCACATGAACTGCCAAGTTTTCATGAACTGCCAAGTTTTCTACTGTGGGACAATAGCAAATTGTGTGCCGCTTTAGAGAACATTTTACTCAAAAACACAAAGTCTTGCTATTCTCTGTTTCTATCCAAATTCAACCACTCGTGAAAAGGTGAGCACAATAACCTCTGTCAGCACGATAAAATGTTGTGCCTAAAAGAATAGTTCAATATTTCGGATTGAGGAAGATCAAGAGTTTAAGGTSTGGATTTTGTGTCAAACTTCTCTAGATTTTAGATAATTTGAGCATCTGTGGGACTTGATAGACAAGTGCAATTTAAGAAGGTCCAACTTCCGATTTTACAAGACTTCAAGGACCTGCTGATGACCGAATAACAGATACAGTAGATCTTTAGGGGTAGAATGGGTGCCTTGATGATTCAAGTAATCAAGTAAGTAATCGAAAGTCACTAAGTCACATCAAGATGTGCTCTGAAAATAAAAAGCAAGCATTCTGAAAGCTTGGAGATTTTTTTCCAAAGTAAAAATGAAATGCTTTCAAACATGCTGGTCTGTCCTGAATATTTTGCATGACAAAGACCTTGAAGATGAAAAGTCTAACAAATCAACTTTGGGCCTAACCCCTTTTTCCCTTCGAAAAGAGCTACAAACCGGCAAGACAGAGAGCCTGACAGAAAATGGCAAGTGAGCAAGGGAGGACAGAGACAAAGAGTAATGCACTGCTGTTCCAGGAAACAGTAATTAGTTATCTGTGGTCAATTAAGTTAAACTGGACAAACAAGTGTGAGTGTTAAAGTGAGCCTTGGCGAGGTCAATACTGACCAATTTAACATGGTCGCTGGATCCATCACACTGTCTACACTCTGCTCCTTTTCCCTCCCTCGCCTGTCCTGCTGTTACCCACTCCAATACTTTTTCTTCTTGCCGACTCTTCACTGCGTTCTCTCTGCCTCCATCATTCACGGTACATGTTCCCTTTCAGTGTCCAAAACCTTTTTTTGTCTCCTGCTCTCTAATGACAATTTTTAAGCTGTTGCCTCATCTTACCTCTTCTCTTTCTATCMTTCCTCGCCTGTCATTTTTGTCCTCTTTCAATCACTTGGCTGCCTCTTCTTTTCGTCTCTGTCACTCCACCAAACCTCTCACTCTCGCAAGCCCGTGCACTCCTGCTAGCAGACAATTAATTACAGAACCGGCGCCAGATGAGTTGTCATTTGTGGTCAAGTTTCTAATAATTGCATTAGATTTTCAGGTTCCTTTATGATGCCCTCCACTTCTTTCCCTCACCCTCTCTATTATTTTTTTCTATTCCTCTCTTTAGTTTAAACCACCTCACCCCCACCCTTTGACACGGCAGAGATGAATCTTTAGTCAGTCAATGGAGGCGACAGAGGGACTTAAAATGCAGAGGCAGTCATTTGATTTCCAGCTAACAGAGCTGCCCATTAGCTCGGCACTCATCAGCCATGCATTACCTCTCAGTCCTGCTGTCCTAAAAGAGAAAGCTTTAACCCTTTCACTGTCCACTGCTGACCAGCTTCACCGTGCATATACTTTGACTGTCTCCTGTAGGAAAAAGCAACAACTTTGTACAGCCATGCAAAAGATAAAGCAAAAAAGGTGTGTTTATAGTCAATCAAAATCATGATTATAATTGTTTTTTTCTTGCTTGAATCTTTTTAAATAACTACCAATAAAAAAAAATCACAAAAAAGTTAAACACGAATAGGTTTTTGGGTCTGTATAGCCACATTCWACTGTGTCTAAAGATTTTTATTTTAAAAAGCAGCTTCAAATGCTCACAAATCAGGACAAATTACCTGTTTTCAGATTTAAACATAGTATGGTTGAAAGCCATATTCTTCAATCRATTGCTAACCTTGTACAACAATAACTTTAATCTTGGCATTCCTACATTTATAAGATTTTTTTCATCAGTAAATGTAAATGTTTTTACCTATGTATATCAGTTCTTTAAAAATGTTATGAAAAGTAATAAATGAATCACAATTTTTATGTTGTTGTGTAACATAATTCCTTTAACTTTACATTAGAAACCGAGCTTCATAACAATTAAAATTATATAATTGAATAGTTTATAAGAAAACAAATACAACTCTTATCAAACAGATGTTTTTAGTGAAGCTGTATTAAACCACCAATGTTTTGATAAGAAATGTCATTTGTTATATTTGATTTTTCCCTTAAGAATCCATTTTTCCAGGTTTTCCTTTGCTTCTAAATTAATTTTCCCCCCTCAGGAGCCTCTCAGCCCCTCAACCTGATATCAGTGAGAGATAGTGAGAAGAGGACCAGGAAAGTGCAGCTAAAGAAGACAGGACACTGCAGCACTGTAAAAGAGACATCATTCATAAATGTGTGTGTATAAGTGTGTGTGTGTGTGTGTGCGCGTGCATCCTATTTGCCACAGTTGCATGGCTTGTCAAGCGTGTCATTGAGCATTCATATGTTGTTTGACTGCTGATAGAATGGCAGGCATATTTATTAAAGAGTCAATGTGATGGGGACACATTTACACTGAAATAGGACACACAATCCACTAARACACAGTCCACATCAGTGACATCTGCCTGTTTAACTACTAGAAGGCAAAAGCTTGATATTGAGCAACTGAAGAACAGGAAGGCACGCATGCACACACATACACACACACGCACGCACACACAAACTAATACCCAGGAACAGCTTTCCCCCAGGCCTGATTGCCATCTCCATAGCCCCTTTTTAACAGAGCTGCCAATTGAAATTGAAATTGTATTCTTGTATGTGCTATCAGAGCCCCCTCTTAGGGTTTTATACAGCTAAGGGGAAGTTAGAGGGACACACTCGCAGACTGACAGGAAGGGATAATTCAGGGGTAAGTCGGGAGCTGTCACTCTTCTATGCAGAACACGTAAGGGGGAACAAAAACTTATCGTTCCATGCTTTCTGTGCATTTTCACATTCGTACAGACACACACAGGGATTACATCTGGGGGTGAACAAGCTGGCCCTCTTCTTAGCAGAGAGGGTTTTACTTTAGCATAATCCCAAAATGGTAGAAAGAAGCAGTCTATTAAAAAGGGGAGGTAACAAATTCAGCACTTTATGTTTCTCAGAGACAGGCTGAAGTGCAGTCAATAAAAAAGTCAGGAGAGGAATAATAAGAAAAAAAAGAAGCTGATTTATAGCAGCTTTTTTTTTCTTTTAAAACGGATACACACACCCACCTGTTCAGACAGAACTGATACTTGCCACGTGTACATATATTCTCATCACTGAAGTTAAAAATTACTGAAACTTTTACCATCAGTTGGGATACCTCTATTACAAATGGGAATAAAAACGCACTATTTCCAAACTTCAACCATTTATTTTGTTCATAACAACCTACTGTAAATAAATGTATGAGCAACTGTATATATTTTACTGTGTCAAAATTATAGGCCAGAAATGTCAAAAATGGTTTAAAATGACTTCAGTGTTTTTAATAAAAATTTAAAGTAAAAAATAGAATCTACATTGGATTTAATTCCTGTATAAATTTGTTAGATACTGCTATGTTATATTCTCCCTGATATCGACTTGACATACTCTCCAAATTGAGTTCATTCAAAGGGCTATCTACAACAGGGAGGATATTAACTGTTCATAACCTCTCCACAAAACACTATTCTTTAAGACGCAATTTTCTTCAGTCCCGAAAACCATACAGAACTCTTTTTGAGATGTAAAAATAACAAACACAGAAACACTTAAATATGCTCTGAATAAAGCAGGACTCATCCTGTCTCCCAGTGGAGAAATCATATTTCTTTTCCTGCTTATACATTAAAATCAGCGTTGAGATTGAACTAACTGCTAAAGCCAAGTTTTAAAGAAAACTGACCCAGTTTTTGTGCGTATAACAAAACCGGGGACAGAGGGTCAAAGGTGGAAGGAAGAAAGGAAAAGCGAYACACAGAGAGCAATCAATTTCCCTGTGGTTTTCCTCAATGGCAGGCAGTCCTTTTCATACCTCCCTATTATAACCCATCTTAATCAAAGAAATATCTCCCCATTATGAGGCTGAAACAATAACACTCCATAAAAATTCTGCCTGCTCCAAAACTATGTAGATTYCAGTAGTGGTAGACAAAGAATGAAGCACGGTGCTTTACGGCAGGAGGGACGCCGGCGTTAAAGTCACATGTGGAAATCTTTTGGCTCTCCTCGCAGCCCCAGAAAAACTGATGGGAAACAATGGCAGCCCGGCACAGCATCTGTCATGGCACAATATAAAAAGATGATCTTGGCACTGAATGGACACACACACACACACACACACACACACACACACAAAAAAAAAGAAAAAGAACACAAGAAAGGGGGGAAGACGGGGGGGATGGAGGGGAGGAGAAAGGGAGGGCCGGGCGGCAGGGTAATTCATTTGCAAATCAGGCCCTGGTGCTCAGSTCTATTTCAAGCTGCCAGTGGGTGCCAGGAGTTAACAAGGTAATCAGTTTCAATCCTGCCCTTCAATTGTACATCACACCCTCATCCAGAGAATACACAGGCCTTTTTAGAGAGGTAGAAGGGGAAATGGCAATCTGGCTGCTGCTTGTACAATTCACATACATGGAACTAAAGTTGAGTCATTAATTGCAACGTACCAAGAACATGTGCTAACAAGATATGTATTCAGATAAGTAGAGTCTAAATAAATCACACTGATTCTTGTCAAAACACTTTGATTGATTAAAGTGTTTAAACAGGCAAAAGCAAGAGTTTGCTTGTTTCAGACTATGAAATGTTGTAGTGATTAAAAAAGACATTTCCAGTCATCCCTCTGGTTTAATTTATTAGCAAATTACTCAACAGAGTGATCAAAAAGTCTGATTAAATGTGTATGTTTGTTTTCAAATCACTGTTTTCTAGATATTGATTTTATGATAATGATGCTGTAATATTTCTACCATGTTTGTTAAATTCAGCTTTTTGCATGTTTTAAAAATGTGTCTTTGATTTCTGTTCTCACCACCAGTCTGTTTATTTTACCAAAATGAGAAAGTCTTATTAGGGACAATGCTGCTCTGAACCCAAAAAGTGGTACATGCAGAGTGTTAGAAAGCAAACAGAGCTAAACCTGTTCTAATCCTCTCTTCCTCTTTCTGTATCCCTCTGTTTAGCCTGTGTCAGCTGTAACCGGCTGGCCCYAGAAGCAGTTAGCCCCCGTTAGTCCCTCATCTGCATAATCAATAAGACAACCTTATTTTTCTGATGCAAACAGGATTTCACTGCAGAGCTGTTTGTTGGTGTGTGTGCATGTGTGTGTGTATGTGTGTGTGTGCATGCTGAATGCCCAGTCTGCTCCTGGCCAGCCTCAGTCATGGCCCTCTTTAGCCTTAATTAGATTAGGTGCGATTATCCCGGCTCTACCTTACAAGTGTACAGGCGGGATAAAGTGGCCACAAAGGCCAGCCTGTCACAGGCACTGGTCTCTGGTCTGCAGGTTATCAAGGTCCAGAGAGACACACAGCGTACATTGTTATTCATATCATCTACACACCATTTTATACTGCCTTTTTTTTTCTTTTTACTTCGCTTTTTTTTTTGTTTTGCCCCCCCTCCTTTTACGTCTGTGGTGTCAAACCGGCGTAATCGCTGGTCGGGGTTAAGTCTGTCTTTTTCCCCCCTCTCTTTCTATCTATCCATCAGAAAACAAAACAACATCGCCCCGAGCACTTTGCAGTCTGGCCTAGAGGGAGAGATGTCTGGAGTATGCGTGTGTGTGTCTTTGTGCTTTTCCGTTGTTCTGTCGTCAGACTTCTAGAAAAAGTGACACAAAAGGTAAGTAAACCCAGTTCTCACGCTAATGCGAGCTGACAAACTAACACTGCAGGACTGAAAATGCACACTAAAGATGCCATGGACAACCTGGTTAACGCTACATCTTTCATGCAAATAACTATTCCGCTGTGAAGACTTGAATGTAAACTAATTAACTCAACAAAGAGGCGTTCTGTTTAAGCTCAGACTCGCAAGAAAACTGAAAGTGTCACTTAAAGTCTGCCCAGTGTTTAAGTCTGAAGTCAATTAAGTCCTAATTATATCAGCTTAACTGTTCGTACAAAAAAAATTATATTGCTTAAAGACACTTTATTGCCAAAAGCATCAGAAACTTGAACTAATATCAACTGCATTCATAAGCTGATGCTAAATAGTAAAAAAAGAAAACGATTCTAACATCTTGTATGATCACATATAAACTTTTCTCAAACACACACTCATTATGCCACAATTACGGCCTATGTGCCAAAACGTGTGTGCCATAACACTGTGTCCAGCAGCATTATTCAATCTGATTAATATCTGTTTGAAAATTTAACAAGATGATTTGCTACTCTGTTTTATTTTTTGAAATACTCCCCCATTTCCCCTGAAACATTTTCCAGGCGGTGTTTGGTGTCGACAGATTTCTCCTGCTCTCTGTCGATGAGTGTGTACGTGAAGGGAAAAGACTTTTTACTTTGCTTTGCTGTGTTGATTAAACAGGAGTGCCCACGGTATTTATACAAACTGTACATAATTTCCGTGTCGTCAGAATTGGGCACAGAAAGAGACAGAAACAGAGAACTACACAAAGGATGATTGGGAGGGGGGAGGGGGGATCTAGATCATAGATCATACAGTGGAGACGAAATACAGAAGATTTGTCAATTTAGACCAAAACAGGTAAAGTAAAATGAATAATCAGATAAAAGCAAAAAAACAATATGTTTCAAAATGACATATTTAAAAACAAACTGAACACTGGTTTGAGTTCATATGCTTGACCTTGGTGTGGCAATAATCCACTCTAAATAACTAAATAATCCACGTGTCATCATCAGTGATCCCTCATTTTAATAGAAACACACTATTCTTGCTTAAACGACTGATTAAAACTAGAAGTGTTTTATTATAGTAAAGAATTTAAATTACATCACTGCATATCAATTCTGAAGGACATCTGTTTTAATAATCCAATTTTTTTTACACAGCTGCCTCACCAAAAGTAGAGCTAATTATTAGAAACAAAATAAAACTGCATAAACAAGCAAACAAGTGAAGGTTTGAAAATACTTTCCTGGTGTCTGTGCGTGCCAAGGAAAATAAGTAAAAGGTAAAATGGAACAGCTCCATTAGAGAACCACAAGAACTAGACAGGCGAAAGAGCAAGACAGAGCACATGAGAGTAAGAGTGAGCAAGACATTAGTTCAAATGAATTAAACATTGGCTGAGAGATCAAAACTTCTGCTGTAAAAGTGGCGAACTAAATGGCCAGGAAGGGAGGGAGGAAACGAGGAGGAGGGGAGGGCTTCCAAACTTTCCCTCTGCTTCATAATGTTCAATATAATATCCGTGAGACGGTCAATGCCAACACTACGAGGGACACAAATAACCCCTTTCATCCCGCAGTCATCACAATCAAGCGTAAACGCACTTGTGTGACTGCTAAACACACAGCAAACTGTTTTGTTTCGGCTCATTTCTGTACAAAAGAAAACTACACAGAAAATGGCAGTCGATTTCAAACGTCCACTGAGAATGATTGTTATATGCGCCTCTCAGGCAATATTTACTTCCACAACTGAGTCATGGTACTTAACTGTATGTCTGAAAAGCTGTTTACCCAGTCTGAGAGAGGTATTCTTGTAATGATCAATGCCATTAGGCAAAATCTGCAAAGCTGTATTTCTGTCTCTGAGCAGCGCAGGTCAAGTGCATAGAGAACGATATTGTCTGCCAACAGAAAAGTCTTTCTTCTCCCCTCTTACTTTGTCTGTTTTCTCCAACTAAAAAGAACATTTTTTTTTCTATAATTTATTCTCAATCTTAGCCTTTCTCATAAAGATTTCAGCCAACACGTTCCTTTGCCCGTGGTGCAGATGAATAAGCACAGGAGTCTGGAAAAAAATTAAACATTAACAGTTTGTCTTTTTACACATCATTATCCATAACAATCTTCTGTTTTAACCCCTTCTCTGCCTTCAACACCACTTTAGTTCCTTTAAACCAAACTACCTAGCATTTCCAGAGGGACACATGAAAAGGGAAACACACTGAGGGCAGAAAAACATGTTTTGTCGACAATCACATTTACATAACCCTCCTAAATTGAAGCTGGACTGTCATGTTTGCTGCTCATAACCTGCTGCTTATAATCCTGCCTGCATCCTCCTCTGATCCATAAAGCAGAGCAGCCAGCCACTTCAACAGCAGCCGGGACTCACACCACCAGCACCTGCTAACGCGGGGCGGTAAAAAGGGGAGAGGGGAAAGGCAAGTGGAGGAAATAAAAGAGAGGAAGAGGGTAATTGGATTGGAGGATCTTCTATTTGGCCAGGGCTGGTCTCTGTCATCACGCTCCAGGCCTGGCTTCTCTTGGTGCCTACAGCAGGTCTCAAACACATCAACACACGCGCACTCGCTCTAAATATGCAACCGTGCCCAGTACCCAGTTCAGGAGGCGAGGTCTCCTGTGCACGGCTCCAGCTTGCAGGGTTCCCAGTGTGTCCTCTGCTCCTGTGTGAGTGTTTGCATACTCCCTTAACAACTCAGTAAATGGTTAAACAGATTACAGAGCGCAGTAAGTGGATTGTCACAGCTCTCTATCGCTCACTCAGAGTGTCTCCCCTGCGAGTATGAGTGGCCAGATTTTTCTCACACACGCTGTCGGGACAAAAACAAAACAAAAAAAAGACTGTCAGTTTTTGGCAGTTTTTACACTTTTTTGACAAGTTTATAATAATACTACAATTGAATAATGCATTTTTTAAACAAACAGTGATTTAATAAAAAAATACTATTTTTGTTCAGAATAAATATAAATGGCCAAGTATATTGTTGGAAGTTGGAATTTATTAACAGCCTATAATTATTGCAATTTAAGCAATCCTTTGCAATACTGATCTTAGGCACACTCATATTGTAAGGGCAATACATTCGCAATCTATTGTGAAGTCCTCCTATCCATTAATGCTGGATTTTGTGAAATCTGTATTAAAGCTACATTTTAAATGAGATTTATCAACTTATTTTTGCATCAAACTAGCAAAAGCACACAAGAAGCTAAGACAAAACACGTTTTCTATAAACAATGATTTTCCAATGATCAAAACGATTTTTTTATATTTTTATAAAATATTTGAAACAAAAGACAACATTTATTTTAGATCACAAGACTGTTTTCCATTTACTCAGAACTTATTTTCGTGTGGAAAAAACTAACATCTAATG